AAGGTTGGCTAAGGTTTTGTCAATTTTGTTTATTCTTTCGAAGAACCAACTCTTGGCTTCATTGATTTTTTGGTATTGTTTTCTAAGTCTCCATTGCATTGATTTCTGCCCTGATCTTTATAATTTCCTCCTTTGCATGACCTTTGGGTGTGTCCTGCTCTTTTTCTAGAAGCTTGAGGTTCAGCATCAGGTTGTTTAGTTGGGCATGCTCTGTTTTCCTAATTTGAGTATTCACTGCTATGTATTTCCCTCATAAGACTGTTTTCATTGTTTCCCATAGATTCTGATATGTTGTACTGTCATTGCCATTTATTTGAAGGAAGTGATCTCTTCTTTATTTTCCTCTGTGACCCACTGGTTATTCAGAAGTGTGTTGTTTAATTTCCATGTGTTTATGAAGTTTCTGCAGTTTCTCTTGCTGTTGATCTCCAATTTCATAGCACTATGGTCTGATAATACACAGGGGATAACTTCAATTCCCTTGCACTTACCTAAATATGTTCTATGAGTGAGTATGTGGTCTATATTTTGGAGAATGACCTGTGTGCAGCCGAAAAGAATGTGTATTCTGATTTTGTGGCATGAAACACTCTGTAAACATCTGTTAGGTTCATATCTTCAATAGTTTGATTGAGTTCTAGTATTTAATTGCTTGTTTTTTGTCTAGTTGATCTATCTATTTGTGACAGTGGGGTACTAAGGTCCCCCACTACTATTGTATTAGTGCTTATATGATTTTTCATGTCTGTATTTGTTTTATATAGTTGGGCGCACTAGTGGTTGGTGCATAGATATTTATGATTGTCATCTCTTCCTCTCGGATTGTTCCCTTTACAGGATGTAGTGTCCTTCTTAGTGTCTCTTAATCAGTGTGGGTTTGAAATCCATTTGATCTGCAAAGAGGATAGCTACTCCTGCTTTTCTCAGGTTCCCATTGCATGGAGTATTGTTTTCCACCCTTTAACTTTCAGTCTATGAATTTCTTTTTGAAGTGTGTTTCTTGTATGCAACAAATTGTTGGATCTTGCTTCTTGACCCATTCTGCCATTGGTGAGTTGAGACCATTAACAGTGATGGTTATAACTGATATGTAATGACTTATCATTGTCATGACTTTTTCTTTTTGTTGGATTCTCCCCCTTTGCTTTTAATTTCTTGTTGTGCCTGGCTGATTCATTCTGCTGGGCTTCCTGGGGTTGTGATCCTCATTGTCTTTTCCTAGGATTTTGTCTAAAATTTTTTGGAGTGCTGGTTTAGTATTTATGAAGTTCCTAAGGTGCTCTGTGTCATGAAAGTATCTTATTTCACCATCAATTTTGAAAGATAGTTTTGCAGGGTACATCCATCTGGGTTGGAGGTTGTTTTCCTTTAGGGCTTGAAACACATTACTCCAAGCTCTTCTTGCCTTGAGGGTTTG